CCAGATGCCCATGCCCGGCAGTGGGCCGCCGATGATGCAGCCGGTCAGGCAGCAGCAGCAGCAATCGGTGCTGCAGCAGCAGCATCAGCTGATGATGAGACAGCAGCAACAAGGTCCTCCTCCCCAGCAAGGTCCACCACCACCACCACCTCCTCAACAAGGTCAACAAGGTCCTCCGCCGATGCCCCCTCCACCAGGATTCATTCCACCGGGGCAACAGCCACCTCCTCCTCCTCATCCTCAAGGTAAACACTTTTTTAACTTTGATTATTAAATTATCAAATCACTAAATTCCCAAATCTTTTCCACTAGTGATGAAGATGCCGCCCATCGCCATTGACCCCGTCACCGGCCGCTCCCTCTTCAGCAACTTCGGCATGGACTTCTTCAGCAGCGGAAAGGCAAAGATCGAATCGCACCTCGAGGGTGACGACGGCGAAGGAGAGTACGATGAAAAGGGCGGAAAGGGCAAAGGTCACGACCTTCACGAGAAGTTCAAGGGCGAGCTGAAGAAGTTCGAGAAGGGTCACAAGGGCGGCGGAAAGGACGAGTACGGCGATGATGAGTACGGGAAGGGTGGAAAGGGTGGTGGCGGATACGAAAAGCCGAAGAAGGGAAAGGGCGGAAAAGGAGGTAAGATTACGTTAAAATGTGATTAAAATTTTAAAATGCTAAAAAATTTTGTGCATTTTTTGCAGGCTACGACGAGTACGAAAAGTCCAAGGCGCCAAAAGGCAAAGGCAAGGGCGGCTATGAAGACGAATATGATGAAGGTGGCTATGAAAAGCCGAAGAAGGGCGGAAAACCTCCTAAAGGAGGTGGCTATGGAAAGGAGAAAGAGTACGGCGACGGCTATGAGACCAAAGCAGCCAAAGGAAAGGGCGGAAAGGATGGCTATGAAAAGGGTAGCATTCTATTTCTGTTTTTTAATTACCAAAATCTAATTAATTTTTTCAATAGAATACGAGCCCGAGTACGAGCCGTACGAAAAGTCGAAGCCAATGAAGGGAAAAGGAGGGAAGGGCAAAGATCCCTACGCCGAGGATGAGTACTACGAAGAGGAGGACGCCTATGAAGCAAAGCCGAAGAAGGGCGGAAAACCACCGAAAGGGGGCGGCTATGCTGATGACGGCTACGGAGCTCCGCCCAAAGGCGGCTACGAAAAGGAACCAGCCTATGGGCCCCCGCCCCCACCAAAGGGAGCCTATGAAAAGGAGCCCGCCTACGGAGCTCCGCCCAAAGGAGGTTATGAGGACGAATACGATGAGCCGAAGAAGATGAAGGGCGGCAAGGGCAA